GATACACACACACACACACACGTATTACATGCCAACACAGATGATCATACATACACGCACGCTGATTACGTACCATATGTATGCGCATCGTGCCGCAATCTCTCTTGTCTGTTTGTCCGCCCGGGCATCCTGATCTGTCCCGTTTCTCCTAGATGTTTCTTTTCGCCTACACGTATACGCGCGTAAATTCATGTGTATGTGTAAAAATATTCCGGATTCTGGATCGTGAGCACGGTGACGACTGCTGTAAGAGGAACAAGTTGAAAATGATGATGCTAGAGCGAATTTGAATAACTATTTTTCTTATAAATATCCTTTCTTAAAGGTAATCATCTTAAGGTAAAGGTAATTAAAATATTTTAAATAACTTTAAAAACTTTAATTCGGTTTTTTAAAGTTTTGTTATTACGGCAATATTGTACAAAAGGATTTTCGTACATTTGTCTTTTAATTTTCAATTGTGTATATTAAAAGATAAGATGAAGAGAATGTTAAGAAAATTCTATCTGAATCTGAGAAAACTTGTAATAAAAAAAAAATGTCTATAAAATTTTAAAATTTATCCAAATTTATATCTATATATATATATATATATATTAAATGTCAAAGTCCATGTGTTGTCAATACAGAAGAAAGAAAAATAATGATCGATGCTTAAAATTCCCTAGAAATTGATCTTGGCCCTACTGTGATTGTAAACTTTGGATTACGTAAGTTAGTACAAAATGAAGTCAAGTGTTGGCAGAGCCTTGTGTCTCCTTCCATCATGAATATCGCTAAATATCGGTATTTAGTCGAAGGTAGTCAGTCACCGTGAACGTAACTTGAATTTTGACACGTTGAAGCGAGATGGAAGATGATTCAATACGTTTCGCGTTCGTAATTAGCTGACAGACGGTTGAGATACGGTATTTTCTTATTGGAGGCAACGTTCAGCCCTGCGAGAGAGAGGGAGAGAAAGAGTGTGAATGAAAGAGGGAGAGAAAATGAAAGAACAAGAGTGAAAGAGTACTATAGTGAGGAAGGTTCTTGTTATTAATCGCGAGACAGAGCGAGCGAAAGAGAGAGAGAGAGAGAGAGAGAGAGAAAGAGAGAAAGAAAGGGAATCATTTAATTTATTGGAAGCTGTAGAAAACGATGAAAAATGAAGAAACGGAGGAAGCTTATAAGCTGAAGATTATTATAAATAAAGTTAAATG